TATTTAAATTATTAAAAGTATTTTGAAATACAATAATTTGAACTACCAAAAATAATTTGAATTGCCAAAATAATTTGGGTTGACAAATAATTTGAACTGCCAAAAATTTGGATAGCCTTAAATAATTTAGGTTGCCAAAAATAATTTGAATTGTCAAAAATAATTTGAGTTGTTAAAAATAATTTGGTTTGTCAAAAATAATTTGAACTGCCAAAAATAATTTGGGCTGCCAAAAATATTTTGGGTTTGGAATTTGGGCAGTCAAAATATATTTTGGGATTTGGGTTTTTGAATTTGAATTTGGGCGGCATGTATACAACAGCCTGTCTTAAAATGGAAATAACATTTTTTTCCTCATTGCTAAGCTCTATTTTTTGATTCGTTTTAATAATTTCTGGAATTAATCTATCGATCGCGTTGATGATATCTTTATCATCTTTTTTTGTAATCTAATTGTTCAAGTTAGCAACATTTTTTTAAACTGTTAAAACAAGACAAATATTTTCTCTTAACTTACTTTTTCAACTTCATAGAAAAAATACTCTATCACATCAAAAAAATCTAATTCGATCAATTTAACTTCATATTGAAACTTTCAACTATTTTTTTCCAGTCATTCGTCAAGAAAAGAGATTTTATTTGAGTATTCTTGGTCAAATCAAGTATATTCCAATATGCAAGACTATAAGTGAAAAAAATTCATAATTAAAAAAAATCATCACTAACATTTATATTATCTATCAAAACTTACTTCAAACATTTTTGGATCTCTGAAATTGTCTTGACGTAACTTGCCAATTTATCTCCTACATTTGTACCACTATGGAGGACCCATGGATGTTGACAGGTTGATGACATTAGCTTAGATTCTTCTATACATTCCATGAAGTTAATATTACCAATATCGTTACTGGTAATATCATTACAAATCTTTTCATTATTTTCCTTGTCCATAAAGAATTTGTCGATTTCATCTTCAGACTCCTCTTCTTCCTCCAGATGTTCACTTGTGTCCAAATCTGAATCAGATTTCATGTTTTTTGCCAGTGACCCATCCTGTAATAAAAATTACCTAACCTTTTAAGCATACTTATTAAAAGCCTTTTAATTTGTTTGAGAAATATGACTAATTTACCTTATTTAATGACAACATGTTTATCTCTTCATGAAGACTAAGATTAGTATTATGTATATTACGACGAACTAAAATCTATATATGGATTTGTCAATATTAAATCAAATCATCTAATAGTCAATAACTGGATATACCGCTGTTTTTTGTTACATCCATGTTTCCCAATTTTCTAAAATTCTTGCTTCCTGTCACAAAAAAGAGCACAGAGTTAGATATAAGAAATTGGCACTTCATTCAATTACGTACATTGGTTGATTTTTTCATTTCTTCAAACTTATTATGTAACTCCTCATCAACAGCTTCCTTAAAAGCAAGGTCAAGCACCTTCTTATACTTTTCAGATGCTTTAATTTGGTGAGATGGAAATATAAATTGAAAAAATGCAAGTGGAGTTGGATCAGGACAAGCTAACATCCAGTTGACATAACGTTCTTGCTGGGTTATTTTTTTTTATGTTGTATGAGAATTTTGATTTTTCCATTATCAGCTTAAAAATAGAAAAAATTTTAGTATATTGTTGATCAAAGCAAATGAGATAAAAAATCAAAGCAGTTGTTCTTCAGATAAGGCCAGCCACTAACTATTACGATGACTTGCCATTGCTGGCTTTCAACAGTCTCCCTCTGTCGCAGACACCTTATTTGCTAAACAACCCTTCGATAACTCTAAGCGAAAAAGTCAGCTGGCCATCAACTATTACGACAACTTGCCATTGCTGATTTCTGACAGTCTCTTTCTGTCATAGACGCTTCCTTCTTACTAACAAAAGTTATGGCTTATAAAGAAAAGAAAATAGCTATCCAGCTCACCTGGTTAAATAATATTCAAAACGTAATTTAGCAAAATGAAAAATTTTTTATACACTGTAGGTAACACAAATATCCATCACACAATCACAAATGATTTGTAGAGTATCACAACACTTATTTACGTGCTTGACAGAAGCAGGATCAGGGACGATAATTTTCTGCAGTGACTAAGACCAAATTCTGTATGTGATTAAGAAAAATTATGCACCTTAATTTGATGCCTTTTTTATATATTCTGTGCAATTATGTGACAATTTATTACTAATTCTGTGATATTATGTGATATATTTTTAATCAAATAAAGTAAAATTATTTATTAAAAGTTTAAAATTTATCACTATTGAAATATAACATGCTTAATTGCTTTAATGATTCTCAAGATAGATTTTGGTGGTCACTACTTAAAAGAATATTATAAGTAGAAAAGCTATATTTTACACTACAACTAGAAATTGGAAGCCAAATATAATCTAATGCTATATTTGACAAAATTGGCAATGTTACTTGCATTTCCGTCCAATACAAATCAAGAATAAATTGTTCATATATTATTTTTTTTACTAATCTACAATAAATTGCCTATTTCCATAATAATTTATAGTCATTAAGGTTTGTAAATTGTGATTTTATAAAAAATTCGTTTGTATTTTGTTCACATTTATTACAGTCATTCATATAATTTGATGGTTTATAATAATATAAAAGTAATGATAAAAAAAAATGAAAAAGTAAATGATATTGATTTTTGAATAATTAATAATTTATTAATTCTTTAAATTATTTATTATTTTATTAAATTATTTTTTTAAAAAAAATATTAATCCTTCTTCATTTAAAAATTAGGTAGATCAAAAAAATAAAGAAATAAGGAAATTATGAATACACATGAAAAAGATTGAAATTGAGGAGTAATTATTATTTTGGGAAAAATATATTTATATTTAATTTGTAAACATGAAAAAAGAATACACTAGCAATAATTATCAAATAATTAAAGTTTATGGCTTCTTCATACTTCATTTAAAAATTTGGTAGATTGAAAAAAATAAAGAAATAAAAAAATATTTTTTTCATTCACATGAAAAAGAGGGAGTAATTATTTATTTTGTTAAAAAAGCATTTCGTGCTATGCCTTCAACAAATGGAATAATATTGGACTAGAATTCCATACTACGATAATATCCTGGAAACTAACTGTATAATTTTTTTTACATATGGAAATCATATTTGTCACCTAACATTTGTCACCTAACATTTGTCACCTACCTGAACTCACAAGTGAAATAGTTTTGATCACTTGCCACATTATAAACCAATAATTTTGGAAATAGAATAAAACATAGACCTGGGTCTTAAAGATCCTTTACAATAATCAAAAAGATTGATGCATGTGATCTGATCATGTTTCTGCTTTAATCATCCCATCTATGGAAAGCATGAGGTAGTACAGTGAATAATAATTAATTAAAGAAATATCATTAGATGTAAGAATTAACTTGAGACTTTGATTTTTCAACTATATAATTCTAAATACTCATTCTTTTGCAATAGAATTGGTAATTTTTTGAAGGAGTATTTTGCTTGAAACTTTGATCATAATAATACTCATCTACTGAAATATGATGCATATTCAATTAATAATTAATTAAATGATATTAAAGTAACTTTAAATTTTGATTTCAATTATTTTAATAATAATTCAAATGCCAAAAGATTCAATTGATCTATATGAATTGAAACTTTATTTTAACAATCATCAATTCAAATATTCACCTACTGTAATAAGATGCATGATAATTTAAACATTTCCAAACTTGTATATTTAATTTTTTTTATTGAATATATTTTTATATATATTTTTATCTCATTATTATACATGTGTTTATATTCAATATCTATTCATTTATTCTTTAAAATCTATGATTGAATATAAAGTTTTAGATTAATATTCAATGTATTTCAAATCTATTAAATAACAAATACTTATGTTTTAAGTATTAAAACCTTCAAAACCTTTTGAGATCTATATTCTATAAGTTCAGAAAAAGCTTCTTTTCATATAAATATTCTAATAATCTAAATAATTATTAATTGCATAAATTAAGAACGGTAATTTTAATTAAAATGCAATTCCAACTGATTCAAAAACCAATTCTAATCAAATTCTACTATGTTCTTTGACATCACAAAGAAATATGGAAAAAAATTAGATCATCAAGTTTTAGAGTTGATTTTGATCAGCATTACTAACTTTATTACAACTCACAAAATAAATTTATGCGACAAAATTGAATGGAGCAAATTGATCCATATGTAATTATAGAAGTATTATTAGATGTTAAATTAGCTTAAAACTTTGATTTCAACAATATAAATCTAAATATTCACATTTTGTAACAAGATATGCATTCAATTATATGACGATTAATTAAAGAAGTGTTATTAGATGGATGTAGATTAGCTTGAAACTTTGATTTTTAACTATATAAATCTAAATACTCATGTTCTAATTACATGATAATTAATTAAAGAAGTATTATTGGATGTTAGCTTGAAACTTATATAAATCTAAATACTTATCCCCTGTAATATAATATGTATTCAATTGATCATTAATTAATTAAAGAATTATTATTAAATTAGTTTGAAACTTTGATTTTCAACTATAAAAATCTAAAAACTTGCACTCTATCATATTCAATTGCATAATAATTAATCAAAGAAGTATTATTAGATGGCTAGATTAGTTAGCTTGAAACATGAATTCAACTATATAAATCTAAATGCTCATGCTCTGTAATAAGATATGTATCCAATCACATAAAAATTAATTAAAGAAGTTAGATTAGCCTGAAACTTTGATTTCAACGATATAAATCTAAATACTCACATCCTGTCCTCAATATTGTACATTTTACATGTCCAAAGGTTTTTTTTGACTATTCAAGCTTTAGTTAATAGCCCAAAACAATTTCCATAATAAAATTTTTTGTTATTTACATTTTAAAAAAAGTAATTTTTGTTCAAGTTCAACAGTGTCCATGTCCAATACTGCCTTTCCTGTAATAAGATATGTATTCAATTCAATTACATGAAAATTAATTAAAGTATTATTAGATGTTAGATTAGCTTGAAACTTTGATTTCAACAATACAAAACTAAACATCTTGTAATATATGTATTTAATTATGTGATAATTAATTAAATAAGTATAATTAGATTTTGGATTAGCTTGAAACTTTGATTTCAATTATATAAAAAATCTAAATACTCATTCTCTGTAATAAGATAAGTATTCAATTTATTGTTAAAAATTAAAGGAGTATTATTAGATGTAATATTAGCTTGATTTCAAATACATAAATCCAAATACTCACATTCTGTAATAAGTGTATTAAAGTATTATTAGAAGTTAGATAGATTGAAACGTTGGGTTCAAATATACACTCAATTCTTAAGGAATGGGTCTGCAAAATTTTACAGATGATGCACTACATTCTTATTTAAAGTTACCTAATATCGTTCTTGAGTGAAAAATACTTTTATAGTAATCAAAATGATTTATTTTTAAAAATTACCAGGTGAGCAATGGTAACCGATTTAATTTAAAAATTCAATTGTCAGTTATTCTTTCAATTCTTAAGAAATAGATCTGCTAATTTTACTTAATATTAATTTAATGTGAAAAAAATACTTTTATATGTACAACGATCGATGATTAATGTTAATAATTGTTTTTAAAAAAGATGTAAAATTAAAAATAATATTAAGTATCCTTAAACTAGATAATGCAATGCATTATCTATAAAATTTGTGGACCTATTCCTTAAGAATTAAAGGAATAATTGGCAATTGAATTTTTAAATTAAATCAGTCACTATTTGTTCAATTCTTCTGCAAATTTTACAGATAGTGCACTATATTCTATAGTGTAAGGTTACTTAATATCGTTTTAAATAGTTTTTGACTTATGGATCATTGTAAACGATATTAAGTAATCTTAAACTAGAGAATGTAGTATATCATCTGTAAAATTTGCAGACATATTCCTTAAGAATGAAAAAATAGTAGCTGATTTAATTTAAAAGTTCAATTGTTGATTATCCCTTCAATTCTTAAGGAACAGGTCCGCAAATTTTATAGATAATGCACTACATTCTCTAGTTTAAGGTTACTTAATATCATTTTTGATAGTTTATAAGTTAAAAAGATACATTTATATGTTGCAACAATTAGAATTTATTGTTAAATTATTTTTTATTTTAATAAATTTCGATCGTTTCAATTCATGTCTAAGTAAAGTTTAAAATTTAACTAGTAACTATAGAAAACAGAAATAATTAAAGTTGTAAATATTATATTTGACTACAATTCTCTATAAGATACGCAGTTAATATTTAATTTTTATATCCATTGAATTCGATTGAAATTTTTACAAATTAATAAAAACTTTAAATTTTATATCAAAATTAAAATTTTTATAATACCATCAATTTTAATACAAAATTTATAGGTCTTTTGTATAACATGTAATTTAATCTTAGCTATCAGGTTATTTAATATATAAAATATGATTTAGTTAATAAGAAAAAATAGAATTAGTGTAATCAAAATGATTTATTTTTAAAAATTTCCAGGTGTCTCTATACTATTTACCAGTTATACTATTTACCAGTTAGTGTATAAATCTAAATATTCACATAATGTAATTAAATATGCATAGAATTAACAGATAATTGATATTTGATTAAAAACTTTGATTTTGATGATTATAAATCTAAATACTCACTCTCTGTAATAAAAATCAATATATATATATGTATTTTGAAATAATTGTGATTTTAATTATTAATTATTATTATTGGGAGTAAAATTGATTTTTCTCTCAGAGAAAAAAAAAAAAGTAATATTGAAGTCATGTAAAAAATATTCATGAATATTAATTACAGTAGTTATTTTTTTTTAACGTCTTTCTTCTCACCGAACATTATCCAAAATCGATATCCAAAATCAATATTTTCAATTAAATATTTCCAAGTGAATACTTCCAATAAAGAGAAAAAAATTAAAAAATAATAATAATCATCATAAAAATTATAATTGAATATTAACTAAAAGTTTGGAACCATTTTGGATATGATAATAACGTAAAGTATTATTTTCCATTAATTTTTCTCCATTATAAGAAACTCTCATTGCAATTGGAGGAATTGCTTCTTTTTGATCAATCATCTTTTTAATTTCTATTATTTTGGTTCTTGGAAATACTTGAAAACCATGAATCTTTTGAAGAATTTTAACAAATATCGTAAAAGAAATACTACAATCTAAAGTTGATTCATCAACAATTTTATAATGATTTAAAGAATAATTGTATTCTAATTTTTTATCAAAATAAAATAGATGAAGGGATGATTCATTATACATTTTGGTGGTGGCTGTTGTCAGAGGAAGAGGAAGAGTAGGAGGAGGATATGTTAAGATCTTTTTTTTTAATTCTAAAATTGTACAAGTTGGATCAATTTCATATTTTACAATTTTTTTAAAAGGTGGTTTGCAGAATTCGAATTGAACTTTGATTTGAATATTATTATAAAATATAAATTTTAAATGTAATGTGGCTTCAGGATAAATGTTATAATTAGAAATTAAATTATTATCTTCCAAAGATTCATTAAAGAAGAAAAGTTTTTGAGCTTCTGGTGAAATTCCTTGAAGTTCTTCGATAGATTGTTTCACGCATAAAACTGTGTCATTTTTTTCGATTTCTAATGAAAATGGATATCCTTTAAGCGTTTTTATATAAATTCTCATATTTATTTGTGTATATTTGGTGTGATGGTGGTCGTTTGGTCTTTTTTTTTTAAAAAAAAATAAAATAAAATAAAATAAACGAATAAAGATGATCAAAACGGAATTATCTGTTATTTATCCGAAAAAAAAATATATAAATAAAGACATAAAAAGGATCATGTGATAATAATTGTATTATATAAAAAATCTTTATTTAATAAATGTTACTTTATTTAACCAATAAGAATATTATATAATTCTAGAATAAATATCGCTATTTAATTATTGTTTACTAATTTGATTTATTTACTAAATATAATTTTAATATAATTTTTTGTGCGTAAGATTAATAGTACAATTTGGATAAATGTAATAGTCGCTAATAGTTTTTTCATCATCAAGTTCGAATTGATTATAACAAAGTATTTGATTATCTTTAGGAAATCCTTCTTCTCGATGTAATATTTCTTTAATTTCAGCGATCGTATTATCGGAAAAGATTTTAACATTTAATAATTCGGAGGTGGAAGTTTTCACGAAAATAAAGAAAGAATTACTACTGAATGCAAAAGTTTGATCATCAAAAATAGTACAACATAGAGTAGATTCATCACAAATCTTATAACTTTCTAATGTTCGATCATCTCGTAATTGTTCACCGAAAAAAAATAATCTTGTAAATAATGCTTTACAAGGAATTTTTTGTTTCAATTCATAAATTGTGTTCGTTGGTTTAACATCAAATTTTAAATTTTTACGAATGGGTGGAGTATAATTATTAATTTCCACATTCACTTGGATATTGTTTTGTACTATAAATTTTAAATGAAGAGTTGATTCGGTACAAATTTTATAATCCGAAAGTTCTTTATCGTTTTCTAAAGCTTCACTAAAGAAGAAAAGTTTTTGATCTTCGGTAGGAACTCCCAAAGCTTTTTCAATGGATTTCTTTAAATTAAAAATTGAACTTTTCTCTTCTGTATTATTAAGTTGAATGATATCCCCTCTATTTGAATTTATGTATATCTTCATCATCGTGAGATCAATTATTATTAATGTAACAAGTTTAAAGAGGTAATATAACAGTTTAAAGAGGTAATATATATCAAATAAAAAATCAGATGTTATTTTATTTATGAATAGTGGTTTGTGTTACGGACTTTTATATGTATATATATATGGAATGATGATTATAAATATGAGGACATGATGAATGAAATATTATTTCGGGGGATAATTACATAATTTTAGCCCTGCTTTTTACATTCTTTCTTTTTTTCATTGTTTACAAATCAAATTAATATTCTGTGAATCCGATCTGGATTTTATTAAAGATTTTATTATTGAAATGGCTATTATACTATGTACTATTCGTTTATTTATATTCTCATTTGTTTTTATCAAAAAAAAAAACGTTATTAATCAATATCAACAATATCAATACTACTGTAATGTCACAAAAATGAAATCTTTCTCTCTTATTTTGTGTATGTAACCTTGTTACCATATTTGTAATAACAATCATTTTGGCGTTTTTTTTATCAATCTGTTATATAGCATATATAATTTGCATAAATAAATATATGCATATTTGATTGTAAGAATATATTGTCTTTTCTTTTGTCATTAATTATTTTGCATAATTCAATTATTTTTTATAAAAGTAGTTTTATTCATGATAAAGTTTATTATATTAATTCATGTGATATATACAATGAACATATATTGAAAAATATTGGTTTGAAAATATTATTTTGAAAATATTGTATCGTTTTTATATTTTTATTTATCATTTTTTTTTTTTTTGAAAAATTTCAAGAAATGAGTTCGGTGACGACGTTTAATTCATCATCATCATTTTCATCGCCTAAAGAAATTAGATATGATTTCGCTTTAGGCGAATTAAACAAAATATTATTTTGTATTGATAAAAAGAAAAAAATTCCAAAAAAAGAAACAAAAGATAGATTTGAATATTATAAACAATTAATTCTTAAAAATAAATCATTATCATCTGAAGAAAAAATTTATTTAATAAATCTATTAAAAGAAACTGTTGATTATTTAAAAATAACCTCCAATACTACTTCTCATACCGTTACGACTACCAACGATGCCATCAACAGTACCGTTACGACTACCAACGGTACAATCAACAATACCATCAACAATATCGATACAACATCCACAAACACAAAAAATAACGATAAAACAACTACCAGCGGTGGTGGTATTAACGATCGAAAATGTGAAAATTGTTTAAATTTCACTTACGCGGTTCATCGTTGTGAACATTGTATACGAAAATTATTAATTAATAATTTTTCGACATGGACATCAGGAAATGAAATTGTTGATGAATTAATTCGAGATTGCCAAAGGAATGTAATTATTCCAGTAAAAATTATCGAATGGATTCCATTTGAAAATTTTGAAAATTTTGAAAATTTGGAGGTTTGGGAAGAAGAAATTTTAGATGATCAAAATAATAATCATGATAATGATAATGATAATAATAATAATAATAGTAATGGTAATAGTAATGATAATGGTAATGGTAATAATAATATTGATTACAAAAAGAAAAATAAAATTAATTCTTCTTTCTCACCTTCTTGTAAGGCAATTTGGAAAGATGGACCATATTTTCAATGGGATAGTGAACATAAAAAATTAATAAGATTAGGATCCGAAAATGTAATTTTGAAAAATTTGAAGAATAATAATAATAATGATTCCAAAAATTCGAATGAAGATTGGTTACTTAAGGTTTGTAATTTGACTTTAATTTTTTTTATTTAATTTAATTTTAACTTTAATTTTAACTTTAAATTTTAAATTTTTTAACTTTAATTTTTTAAATTTTAAATTTTTTAACTTTAATTTTTTAAATTTTAAATTTTTTAGATTGAATCACAACTAAAATCAAATAACACTAATAATTCGGATGTTATTCAATGTTATGGAATAACTCAAGATCCTATTAGTAAAAATTATATGCTTGTATTAGAACAAACAAATAACAATAACAAAAACAACGTCAACAACAAAAATAACTATAAGAATTGTAATAATAATAATAATAATAATATTAGTATTAATATTAATAATAATATCAGCGATTATGATGGACGTAATAATAATAATAGTAATAGTAATAATAGTAATAATTTACAACAATTTATTCTTCAAAATCACACAATTCTCACTTGGGAACAAAGAATTGAAATCTTTAAAGATATTATTTCTTCACTTTCAGAAATTTATCAATTAAATTTAAGTGAAAATTATTTTTATGGTGATGGTTTAGATTCAAGTAATATTTTTCAAGACATTTATACTAAAAAATGGAAGATCATTCATATTAATATTATTAGTTATAACAATAATAATAGTAATAATAATAAGAGTAATAATAAGATTAGTAATTATAATAATAATAGTAATCTTCCATATATAGCTCCCGAAATATTATGTGGAAAACAATTCACTTCCAAATCTGATATTTATAATATAGGAATGATGATGTGGGAAATATCAGCAGGACGTTCGGCATTTATTACCAGAAATCATGATTTAGATCTTATTTCAGAAATATTAAAAGGAAAACGTCCTAAAATTATTAAAGGTACACCTATCTGGTATTCTCAATTAATGCAAAAATGTTGGGATGTAAATCCTGAAAAGAGACCGGATTTAAAAGAAATTTTAAATATTCTTCAAATTTTTTCATCATCATCATCGTCATCCTCATCCTCCACCTCCTCATCATCCTCTTGATTAGAAATGATCGAAATTATCGAAATTATCGAAATTTATTTATTTAATTTTTTTTTTTTTGTTCAGTTTATTTTATTTCGTAAATAAATTATAGATAAATAAATTATAAATATATAATATATAAATTTATAAATATATAAATATATAAATATATATTTTTCTAATTTATTAATAAATTAAATGAAGAATTTTATTAATATTTTTCTGCCATAATCAATGTCACTAAAGAAGTCCACCCTGTAAATGGATGACTAATAAATAAAAATAAAATTCAATTAAATAAATAATTCATTCATTCATTCAATTTAAAAGATAATCATATATGTAAAATTTAAATTTTACCTTCTTTTCCCTTCTCCGTCAATAGAAGAGTATTGTTCCCATACATATCCTGTTCTTTCAAAGTTCTATTTTAATCAATATAAATTAATATTTAATAATATAAATAAATCACCTGACGAATGATCAACTCAACAAAATTATTTTTTAATAAATAAACCAAATATACATACATTGAAAACATTTGTTATTATGTTAGTTCTCAATTCTTTATATATTATTTTTGCTTTTGACTGATATGGTCCAGATTTTGCTGCATAATTCTACCAAAAATTATAAAAAAAATAGAAAAATGTTTTAAATAAAATAAAATAAAAATAAAAATAATAATAAAAATAATAATAAAAATAAAAATAAAAATAAAAATAAAAATAAAAAAATTCACTTACTTTATACAAAGAAGATAATGTTAAATAATTTATGTTTATCCAAACTGGTCCCACCCAATAATTTTCTCCTGTATTAAAATATTTATCAGATTTCGATAATGATCTTATTCCATATCTAAATATAAATAAATATAAATAAATATAAATAATTGAATAATTGTTAAAAAAAAATAATATTAAAATTATTGTTAAATGATAAATAATTATAATAATTATAATCACAATAAAAAAATTTAATAAAATATGTTAAAAAGGATACGGTGACCATAATTCATTAGGATCATATATTAAATCCAAAATTGATCCAAGTTTTGGTGAATCATTTGGTAATAATCCAAGTAACATTGGGAACAATGATAAATATCCTTTGTGACATACATGAATTGATTCCTCTAATATTATATATAATATATATATATATATATATATATAAATTTAATATTATTATAATTTATATAAATAATATTTTAATATTAATATTATTAAATAAACATAGTAAATAAATACAATAAATAAATATAATAAATAATAATTATACTTGCCATTTTCATCAACTGAAACATCACAATATGCTTTATATTTATCACTCCAATGTAAATCTAAAAAAAAAATAATTATATATATATATATATATATGAGAAATTATTAATATTATAAAAGAAAAAATAAAAAAATTTCAAAATCGCTTTCTGAATTAACCAAAAAAAAAAAGAAAAATAAAAGTATTTACCATCTAAATTATTTAAAATATTTTCGTAATGTTCACCAAAATCTTCTATATCATCTTCTATTCCTAATCTATTTGCAATATTCGTTAATGATCTAGCCATAAATCCTACCCAACACATTAAATCTACGTGTAATTCTGCAGGATGTGGCGGTTGAGCTCGAGGATAATCATCAAGACCTGTGTTGCGTGCGTTATGTGTAGTGTGATGTATAGTATTAATAACAATTACAATATATAGTTATTACAATCATAATTTACGATATATAATTTACGATATATAATTATTTACGTTATATAATTATTACGATTTATAATAACAAAATTACAAAATTTACAAACCAGAAGTTAAAGTATGTCCAGGAGTTCTTCCTCTCCACCGATAAGCTTCTTTACTATTTGATGCACTTCTTCCCCATTCTTTAATTTCACCCCATTGAGTTCTTCTAAACCAATTATAATTTGCTCGTAATTTAGGATATATTTCAATGAGATAACTTTTAGCTAAATTTTGATCATACAAATAACGATTTGATATTATTTCTGGATCCATAGTAGAAGATAGGTGATCTAATATTATTGGTTGTTGTTGTTGTTGTATTGGATTAAATTGATTTGAATTTGAATTAGAAATATTATCAAATCTCTTTATAAATGATTCAATAGCCATTAATAATGTAGGAGGATTTGCATAATGTGGGTATTGCGTTTGGAATTCTGCTGGAACCTAAAAAAAAAAAAAATTACCAAAATATTTTTTTATAAATCCTTTCTTTTGTCAAACACACATTATTGACCTTATTGATTAGACCTGATTAAACTTCATACATACTTTATTCCTGGCTTCCTCTCCTAATATTTGTTCTCTTCCTACCCATCCATCATCGTCTATGAGTGAAATCCATGATTTTATAATTTCCAAACTATAAATAAATTATTTTATAAATAAAATTATTTTTAAAAATTATAAATAAATTATTTTAAAATTAAAAATAAATCTAAATAATTTTAAAAAAAATAAAAAATAAATAAAATAAATAAATAAAATACCTTAAATCATTATCCCATTCTCCAATAAGAAGTTGATGAAAGCCTTCATCCCTAATTGATTAAATAAAATTACCAAATATTTTAATTATTTTAAATAATAATATTTTAATAATATCTATTAATTATTACAGTTGTTACCAATAAAATCCTCTAGGAAAGAAAGGTCGTGAAGGTGTGGCGGTAAATAACGCTGCTGGCGAAGATAATTTCGGATTACTTTTCCTCTGCGAAAAATCTTCTCCAAATTCTTCATAATCATCTTCTGTATATGATCTATCCACAATACTCGAACCATAAAAATATCTTATACATATATATATATATATATATATATTTATTGATGATGATAAAATTAATAAAATTTAGAATGAGATATTTATAAAAAAAAAATCATTATGAATGAATGAAATCTAAGAGTATTGATTAAATTATTACCCAATTCCACCAAGTAAATTACTCAACATAGTTTGAGCGAAATAAATATGTTTGTCATTAAATCCTTTTGCGGCTAATCCAAATACTTTTTCAAATTTGACATCATATTCCTGTGAACTTATTTCTAAACTCTTAGTTAAATCTGGTAAATGATATAATAAGATTAATAGATTAATAGATTAATCAAGGATTAATAAAGTTAAATAAAATAATTAAGGATTAAAAAAAAAAAGAATACCTTCAATATGGTTAGGAGATGAATCAGATTCAAAAAATATATCAAACTATATATTTAAAATAATAATAATTATTATTCGTAAATTAATTATTATCATAATCAATAAACACAAAAATTAAAAACAAAAAATTAAACACGAAAAATTAAACACAAAAAAAAATACCTGAAAAGGAACCTCGACCATCTTTTGAAACATATAAAAATTTGCATTCTCTCTTACTTCATTATTTAAAGTATAAAGAAGTGATGGTGGTGGAAAAGGTGATTCGAAATCGGGTGATGATCGAGATCGGATAGTATCCACTTTTTTTGCTAATAAACCAGTAAAATATTCTATATTAAAGAAGAATGATAAATTTTTAATAAATTAAATAAATTTAAAAGAATTATTAAAAATTAATTTATATTAAAATCATATTATTTACCTCTTGCCCGCCAAACATCACCATCAGGCACTAAATGTCCCCAATATTGCATCTTTGTCAAATCGGTTGTATTTATATATTCATCTCGTTCTTCTTCTAACACATTTTTTGGAATTTGGTTATTTGGATCTAAATAATATACACACATATATACATAAATAAATAATTTTTTCTTAAATATATAAATATAAAATCCTAAATGTTGATATAAAAATCTAAAAGCTGCTAAAGTTTTAAACCTACCTTCTTGTATTTTGATCTTGAATTTTCCAAGATCAGGAGTTTGTCCAATTAATTTTATTATACCGGTTAAACCCTAAAAAAAAATAATAAATAAATAAAATAAAATTAAATAAATTGATCAAATTCTTTTTATCATAAATTTTTATTTATCCAAAAAAACATATGTTCTTCCGCATTCGAATTTAATATTTACCGAATTATTTAATTCACTCTTTAATTCTAAAGATCCTTCTCCTTCTAAACCAAAATAATATAAAAATGATATTCTTGACGGCATCTCTATTTATTATTATTATCATTATTATTATTAAATCATCAAAAATAAATCTTTTAACAAGAATTGAATAATTAAAGAATAAATAAATAAATAAATAAAAAATGAAAATAGATAAATTACCTTCATAAATTGGATTTCCGGTTATACGAACAGCCCAATCACCTCCTAAAAAAAATGTAAAAAAAAAATTAATCAAAATAAAATAAACTTTGAAGTACAACATAATCTAAAAATAAATTACCATTTTCACCACCAGGAACTTTTAGATATTCTGTCTTCAAAATCAAATTATTTTTAACATCAGTAATGGTTTGTAAGGAAAAAGATCGACCATCATGTTTTTTATAACTATATTCTTTTAATTCATCTGATTGTTCACAAGAATGTCTTATATCTTTTTTTTTTTTTTTATAAAATGTATATATAAATATATATGTATATATTAATATAAGATATATAATATTGAATTTATTAATTTATATATATTATTATTTTATTAGTGAATATTTACAAGAATATTTCTACGAGAATATAAATAAATAGATAAATAAATAAATAAATATATATATATATAAATAATTATATAAACTCACGTATTGAATTATCATCATTCAATCCGAACCAAATTAAACCTGTCATTAAACTTTCCGGTAATCGAGGTCTTGTTCCAAAATATAAATTTGGTCTATAAGTTCCCCAGAGCAAAGAATTATTCGATGCCTTATTTACGATTATTTTATTTTCCAAAAATTGGATATTATCGATTTCTGCATTATTGAATATTATATTATCGGAATCAAAATCTAATTCGAAAGTTGAAATAGGTTGAATAATCAATATGATAATGATTAATGTGAATACATAAATAAAGAATTTTTTAAATTGTTTAAATTGGTTTATTTTGGTGGTGGTAAAATTTAACATGATTGTTATACAGTAAAAAAAAAAAAATTGAGTTTTTAATTTTATTTATTATTTATGTATATTATTACTTAAAATGGATAATGCATTGCATCTGCAATTAGATCTCAATTTGAATTCAGATGCGCCGGTGATTGATTGTAAAATTAACAAATTATTCAAATCTTCGGATCCACCCCGAATCCTTTTTTAGAATCCGATCTGGATTCAAAATAATAATCAGATGTAATTATTTGCGCCAATGTTGTTAGAAAGCAAAAATATTTGATTTCCGTAATATCTTATAATGAATGAAATCTGATATTTTGGATGCTTAACATTAATAACGAGATAAATTTGGAGATGCTCAACTGATTCATTAAAATCAAGTTCATGAGAAGCAATCAAGAAATCAAAAATAATTGAATTTTCTAATTCTTCTAATGGAATTGTTCCCCCATAAATACACATACCTTTATTATAGATAAATAGATATTATTAAATAATTTAAAATTTAAATACTAATTGTATTACGGTTTATTAAATAAATAAGATAATTAATGCATGTTTAAATCTTTGCTTATATTAAAAATTTTTTAATATATTTTTTTATAGAAATTCTGATAGAATTGTTATTATGAAAACAAAGAAAAACGATTAGATAAATGGATTTCGATTTGTTATTGAGGTTGAAACAAAGCAAAGTTATTAGTAATTCCTTTTTATTTTATTTTGTTTTTTTTTTTTTTTTGATTATATTTTTTTGCATTTATTTTATTTTCTATTAAATATTTTTCAACGTAGAGAACGGAATATGCTAAGATAACTGCTCGTATATATAAATTGTCTCGCTAAAAAATTTCTTTAATCATGAATTTATTATTTTACTACAATTTAAACCGCAAAAGATTAGATCTTGTCCATTCTCTAAGAATTAAGTGAATTATTTTATTTTAATTAATTTTATATTTGATGATTTTAACAATTTAAAACGAATTCACGTGATACGACACGGAGTTTTTAGAAAATCGCTTCTTTTTGGGAAAAGGGAAATGATCTTGGTGAAAACAAAAAAAAATCAATTATTGGGTAATAAAATACGTACGTATAAAGAAAAATTGCTAAAGCTCACCGTAGTGATTCACCACTGGGCAAAATTAAATTTACGTGGGGTTAGGGGTTGATTAGAGAATTAGCCAATCTTGCCCAGCGCATGACAATCACCATTGGTGAGCTTTAGCAATACCCAAATAAAAAAATGTATCATTATTCCTTTCTTTCAGTGTCAATCAAGCTTAAAAGTTATGAGATGCACGCGATGATCAATTTTCTCCTTTGACAATCACCGTGTGGTATTTTATAATTAAGATTTGTAACTTCAAGAACGATCTTTCCAAAGAAAAAGTTAATTGTAATTTTTAAAATAAGTTTCAAAGCAATCTTGATATTTAAGTAAAAAGATTTGAGGAAAAAAAAAAAAAGATTAGTTTGGGATTATATTTTGTTGAATTTCTCCCAAATTGAGGTTACATCAAAAAATGTGATTACAATATTATAATCAGAAAAGGCAATGATTACCCTCAAAAAATAATTACTGTATATAAATTTGGAATAAAGAAAATTCAAAATCTTCTCTTCAATAACGAATATTCACTTTTATTTCTTTATTTTCCATGTCTCAAGGAATAGAAAAAATAAAGTATTGTCCGGCAGGTCATTCTTCTGAGGATTTCTCTCGTTCTGATCATCGGAATTTCATTCGTTTTGATGGAATATGCTCATTATGTTCTAATGAACATTATATCCAAGAATTTAAAACTTGGTCTAGTGGGAATGTTAACATTGATAAAATTATCCAAGAATCTCAAATAAATGACATTAATAATAATAGGTTACATTGGATATCTTATGATAATTTTAAAAATATTGAACATATAGCAAATGGTGGTCATGGATCTGTGTATTCTGCCAAATTAGAAAATGGAATAAAATGGAATTGGAATTTTATTAAACAGGATTGGGAATATTATTTATTAGGTAGCAAAGTTGCTTTGAAAGAAATAAAAGATTCTATATTTAATATAGTCGAATTTCTTAAAGTGGTATGTTCTTTTATATTTATATTTAGAATATAAATTAATATGAACTATTATTTAATAATTCGTAATTTATTAAATTTGTCTTTTAATATTTTTCATATTTTAAGATGAAGATTGCTAATGAACATAAATATGGATCTATTACTAAATATTATGGAATTTCAAAAAATCCTTCTACACAAAATTACATTATTATTATGGATTTATTTGATGGTGGATTACATAATTTTTTAACTAAGAAATTTTGGGATTTAGGGTGGCAATCAAAAATATGCATATTATTATCAATAACATGTTGTCTTAGTCGCTCACATGAAAAAAATTTAATTCATTGTGACCTTCATAGTGGAAATATTTTGATATACTATAATTTCGATCCTTTCTATCATGACTTAGACTTAGGAATAGATTTAGGTTTATATAAATTAGAAAATAATTTAATTTTAAACTCTAATAATAAAAATAACAAAATTTCTGGATCAATTCCATATATTCCACCTGAAGTATTAAGAGGAAATGAATTTACAAGGGAGGGTGATATTTATAGTTTTGGTGGAATTATGTATGAAATAGTTACTGCACAACGACCATTTGCTGATCAAGCGCATGATACTCATTTGATAATAGATATATGTAATGGTGTAAGACCAAAGGTTCCCGATTTTATGTTAGATTGGATTCCAGAATGGTATTTAAATTTAATGTATCGATGCTGGAGTGATGATCCTTCCGAACGCCCAAGTGCCATTGAATTGTCAATTTTATTTTTTGATGTATCAGGACTTTATGGTAATGTAGTGGATGATAATGTTACGCGACAACTTAAAATTGCTGATGAAAATCAAAAAAACACATCAAAATCTCGAAAACAAGAATTATTAGAATTATTTTCACATTCAAATAAGTTACATCCACAATCATGTTATATTAGTCGATATATTCATACTCTTCATGGATTATATGATTTATTGGAAGAAATAAAATCCGGAAAATCTTCAGGTACGTATAAGTATATTCTTTAAAACAATTCAAATTTTAATAAATGATTAATTACAAATTATTTAAATTTTTTTTTTTTTTGAATTTTTGAATTTTTGAATTTTTAAATTTATAGATCCTAATTTATTAAAGCCCAATGAATCGATAACTATTTTAAGGTCCAATTCTTACGATTTTTGTTCTAAAGAATTATTGAAACCTATTGAAGAGGAATAGGAAATTCAAAGTCAAATGGAAAAATGATCATTCACGAATATTTCAACCAAAAATTTAAAGAAAACATTATTATCGATAAAGATATCAATATTATTTAATTTTTTTAGTTTATTATTATTCAATTTTTATCATAGTGATAGGAGTTAATTTTCTTAAAAATTTATTTTTGTATATTTTTGTATGGGAGTTCATTTATTATTAAAAGAATATCTATTTAATTTATTTATCTTAAAACTATTTTCGCGTGTACATATTATTAAGGCTCGAATTTAGTATGACTCAAATATATGTTATTATAGGCTTACGAAAATGTATAATATCAGGTTCTTGAATTTATTTTACTGATTTCGACAAAAAAGAAAATGGGACTAAAGATAATACGAGTTTACCTTTAACTAGGGAAATGACAAAGTAAATATTTCAAAGAATTATTCTTTATCAAAGCATTTATTATATTTGTTATATAATTTTTTTTTTCAAAAAAAAAAAAATCTTTATTATATTAGTCGACTTTACTAGTTACAACTGGTTGAACAATGTAATGTTTATTTACTTTACGTGCAGAACTTGGTTGTTGATTTAGCAACGCGAGAGGCATGAAGAATTATTATTGTCAAGGTTATTAAAATATATTTATCGAAGGCAAGTCTTTATAAATTACTACTATTATTATTCAATTCGTATATTTCACATTTTATTATAACGTTATCCAATTTAGGTATTTATGGCTACATACTTAACGATGCGTATAATGACGTGTAATTTACAACAAATTTTTAACTTACCTGAAGAAATTTCATTTAAAATGCTAAAATTTCAAATTGTTTTTAATCATATGAAAATTGCACAAATAAGTGTAGAAATAAGGAACTACTAAACGTGAAAAAATCCTTTATCTGATCGAAAATTGTATATTTTTATTTTATTGATATTTTCATTATTAGATGTTGATCTAAGCATATGACAGAAAATATAGATATTAATAAATATATCGTGAATTTTTTTAGGCCCACATCGGTAACCATTGGTAATTACGAAAAACTCATCTTACCATTTTATGACATAAATTAAAAAAAAAAAAAAAAAATTATTTGAACCATTCTTTTCAGAAATTGTGTAAGAGGTCGCCTGATCATTGTGTTCGATTAGATAATAGTTAAACTATTATGGAAACAATGACATTCAAACATTGTTTTTCCGGTGGGGAAAACATATTTCTTTTCAAAGTATTCCGTAGATTTATTTGCATATCAAAAAAAAAAAAATTTCGGAGATTTATTTTACTATATTATTAAACCAAATAAATAAACTCATTATTCTTGGTCGTGCGTTAGTTTTTTTTACATGTGATTATTTGAATTATCTGAATTTGGAACTTGATCTCAATGGATAAAAGATCTCTTCTAATTGAACTTCTTGAAGATTTCCCAAATTTTCAAAACAATAACGATAAGACGCGAAAAATCTTAGTAGAACTGTGTATCAATGCCTCAAAAACAGAACTAGAGGAATTCACCAATGAATTATCACAACTTCTGTGCAGCTCTCCTGATGACTACCTATTATCAATGCAAGCATTTTTTTCATTTCTTTACAACGATTCTTCATGTGTCACTACACGTCTCAAAACATGGCTTCCCGATTTTGCATTAATGACAATCAACAATATTATATTGCCAAACTTGCAACACTCTGATATTCACAGTTTTGGATTGATTCTTTACTATTGTATTGAATTACTCTGGCGTGCTCGAAATGACAAATTTTACACAAATTTAACTCTTCAAACCTTAAAACGCGTCTTCCGCACAATACTTACTGTGTATGGTGCCTTGCAAATTTTGATATCAAGTCCTCCTGGTCATCATTGCTTCAAACGCGTTCTATTCGACTTCAACTTAATTAATCAGATTGAAAAAGATGAAATGCTTAAAGCAGTTGATATTATCGCAGCCCTTATTGAAAAGTGTTATAAGCATAAAGAAGTTTCCTCTCAGCTTTCAGAAGGATTTTCTATATACAAAGCCTGTACAGCATTATTGAAAACTTTAGAAACCCACTATAATTCAAAACTGACCACCAAGAAAAACTTATTAGCACCTACTCTGCAAAATATGGTTAAGCTTGAAAAAAAGGAATATAGAACGAAACATGGAAATGAGAAGCAAAACGACACAGCTAATAACTCTATTAACTCTGATATAAATTTGACATTCTTATCTACTCGGGATGAACAACATCTTAATCTTTTAGGGATGAAATTCCCACAGAAGTTATCACATTTACCCAACTTTTTGAAGGAACTAGAACAACGGAAAATAAATACATTTCAAGTATGTTTGACTTTTTTTTTGCTTCAAATACACACACGTTTACATACATATATTGATATATGAAAATACATTCATTTAGAATTTGATTGGATTCATGCCGTGCATAAGTTGTCACGAAAGAGCCCTCATTAGTCTTTATCCTGAAAAATATAAAAATTCTTTGAATGTGGAACAAGAAGATAGTAGTATGGTATCAAAACAACTTTTATGTCTTCCATTCGAATTTAACAAAGATGATAAACTTGGATCATGGGATATTCTACTAAGCGAATATGCAATTAGAGATATTCAGATATTGGAGTTTTCTTATGGTATTAAGGTAACTGAGGAAGCTATGAAGAAACTCTGGCAGATATCGTCAGGAAAATGGAAAAAGCATGACCTAATATATAAGGTGTCATCATCTCATAATATTCCTGTCTATGAAGTTAAAGTTCCAGGCAATAATGGTCTGAGAATCATATGGCAAATTGATCACGGATTTTCTGTTCGCAGCCTTTTGTTCTCTCAACATGTAAAGATTTGGGCTATTACTGACAACCAAGAACAAATTAACTTGATATTAGAAAAACTTAAGATAGTTCATCAAGTTTATAATGCTAGACATAAACGACGATGCGAATTCCAACAAATGAGTAAAAATAGAGTTATTTTACCGAGATGCTTTAGTGATGAACTGGAAACAAAATTCATAGACAATGATCCGGAGGTGGATGATGAGAATGATGAGAAACTCTTAGAAGTTCATAAGATACTTATTACTAATAAGTTTTTTCCTTTATCAAAGGTAAAGAATGTATGAAATAGGATCAATTGAAATTTTCTTCATTGAAGTGATACATCCCTCCTTTAAAAAAAAAAATATTTCGTCTTTTAGAATTTGATCAGGTCGCTTGTCTTGAATGGCCCCAATTTCACTTTTCAGGTTTCCAAGAAAGAGTACGAGATCATTAATTATCCTACTTCAGCAATTATTATTGGTCGATCAGGTCAGTGTTATTTCGGTTATTGAAATAATGAATGACTGATAAAATTGATATAATTTTTTTATTTTTAATGTATAGGAACTGGAAAAACAACGAGTTTAATGTTTAGACAGATATCTTCGTACCAAATAAATCAACTTAGTAAAACATCAACTTTAAATGGTTATTGCGAGAATCTTCATAAAAGACAAATATTTATTACAGTTAGCTACAATCTATGCCGCCGAGTAAAAAAATACTTTTACGGATTGCTAGAAGCAGTCGTCCTTGCTGGAAAAACGGCTGCTGAATATAATGAATACGTCAGGACAAGAGAAGAAACTGATGATATCGAAGAGAAAGATGACATGATACTTGAAGAGGATGATGAAGAAGAGGAGCTAAGCGAAATTCCTGATTCATTTCGCCTACTGAAGGATAATCATTTCCCATTATTTATTACCTATAAAAAGTTTTCCAGAATGCTTCAGGGAACTTATGGAATTGATGTTTCTAAGCTTACTAAACAAAAAAAACATGATGCAAAAGACAATGATTTATATAATAATGAAGATGAGGAATTTCATCATAGATCTTCTATATTAAACTTATCTAATGCATCATGGCATCACTTTATTAACTATAACCTTTTCCAAAAAAAATATTGGCCTCGCTTTAATAATCATTATAAGAAGAAATTGAATTGCGAGCAAGTTTTTTCCGAATTCGCTGTTATTAAGGTATGTACCTATATATAGAAACCTTCCACATCTATAAAATGTTTTATTATACTTATCTCAAAAAAAAAAAAAATTCGAAGGGAACAAATCCTGATGTAGAATTTCTATCAAGAGAGGATTATCGAGTTATCAGTACAAAGAAATATCCACTATTTCAAAACAATCGTGATGAAATTTATAATTTATTTGAACGATATGAAAAAATGAAATCAAGAAACGGTGACTATGACTCAATAGATAGGTATAATTGAATAATGCAAAAATTTATTTCTTTTTTTATATAGATTTCACATATTTTTAAATTCTTTGCAGAACACAAGCAATCTCGCGCTATATCAAAATGAAAGCACTTGTTGGTCCGCATATTCATGAAGTATATATCGATGAATTTCAGGACAACAAAATCGTAGATTTAGCACTTATATTGAAACTATTTGAAAAAGCCGATAGCATTTTTATGGCTGGAGATATTGCGCAATGTATTGCCGAAGGATCATCCTTCCAATTCCGGGGCATGTATCGTTCTTTCAATAATATCTTACCGCAAACTCATATAGACTCTCTAATTTTTCCTAATTTTTATTGACATACAAATAGATTTACGCTCATTAATGTATAATTGGGAACTTAATCGGATCCAACCTATTTATAACCCACCAAAACCAAAAAAGTTCCATCTAAATACTAATTATCGTTCCCACAATGGAATTCTTCGCCTTGCTGCATCAATAATTGATCTCATTTTGCAATTTTTTCCTAATTCTATTGACCGGTTAAATCGTGAACATGGTGAAATTGGTGGTCCCCGGCCTGTTATATTTGAGGGATTTCAAATTGAAACTGAACATAAATCTGCACCCAAAGTTATTGAATTAGATATTAATGAATTAGGTGCTATTGAATTAGGTGCTAGGCAGGTTATTATAGTTCGTGATAAAAAAACTAAAGATCGTCTGAAGACTTATAAGTTGGGATTGGTTTTGACTATTTATGAGGCGAAGGGCATGGAGTTTGATGATGTGCTATTGTATAATTTTTTTACTGATTCCGAAGCAGGTCGAAAGGTATAATTCTACAAGCTTTGTTTAAGATCATTTAATAAATATCGTTAATAGCAATCATTAATAGATATCATCTCTGTTTATACATAAATTGTATTTAGTGGCGAGTAATTCTTTCCACTGTGAGTGGTTATTCTAAAGGGGTACAAACATTCTCTCCTGAGGAACATTATATCCTTTGCTCTGAGCTCAAGAATCTCTACGTTGCTGTGACAAGATCTCGCCAGCATCTTTACATTTTTGATGAAAATTTTGAATATAGTAATGCAATGCAGACATACTGGAAATATAAGAATCTGGTCAAAGTGCGCCCAAGTAGAAAACTTGACACTTTCTTTTCTTTGGCTAAGAAAAGCAGTCCACATGAGTGGTGTCTACAAGGAAAAATTTTTTTCGAACAGCGACAGTATGAACAAGTAAATTGATTTTTAAAATATTCTGTCATGAAAATTATAATCAAAATTAACTTAATCACTTCCAGGCCATCTTCTGCTTTGAAAAAAGTGGAAATGAACGTCTTCGCAAACTAGCCGATGCATATAATAAACAGGAGATTGCCAGGGACTCCGTTAATGACTCGGATGACTATGTAATAAAGTACAATTTTGTATCTGCTGCTAAGGCTTTTATAGATTGTTCCCGGTCAGCTAAGGCAGCTTTATGTTATAAGGTATAGTCTTGATCATATTATATGAAGATTTAAATTAAACATCAAATGTTTAAATTAATATTTAAAATACCCAGGATATTGGTATGTGGAAAGAGGCAGGAGACAATTTTACAAAAGCAAAGAAGTATAATGAAGCCATTTTAGCCTATAAAGAAGAAAAAAATGGAAAATTATATCCAATAATAATCGATTTGATGAAAAGGTAAGCCGTCCGTGATAATGTAATTAATTATATTTATCAAAACATTGTGTTTGACTAAACTATTATAAACAAGCCACGCGAATGAAATTGATAAAAAAATATTTCGCCGCATTACCCGTCTTATCAACATCCATTATCGTAATAATAATGATAATGAAATGAGTAAGAAAGCCCTTTCGATTCTTCCAACTCAAGAGGACCAAATTGAGCTTTTGAAAGATCATGCACCAGAAGAGCTTTTGGAAGTCTATAAGAAGAAGGGTCAGTTTAGTGATGCCGCCAAATACTTACGTTCGCTCGGAAAATTCAAACAGGCTTTCGTCATGCTAAGCAACCATCTTGATAAAAAAGATAATTTTATTGATTCATTATGCTGCCTTCTACACCTTTGCAGAGTAAATATACTAGCAGATACGATGAGCAACAAAGGTACCCTAAAAGAGTTAGGTGAATTACTTAATCATGCAAAAGATATTGACACGAAAGTCAAATTACAATCCTTAAAGGAATCCAAAGAGTGGTATGGATCAATGGAAGAATTCCAGTTATATTCAGCTTATTTAGAGAGAGACCTAAATAGAGTTCACAAATATATACAATTTTACCAGAAGCGTAATGATACCATTGTTGAGTTTCGGGCATTAAATATATGGTTGAAAATTCCACCACAATCCTTCATTAATACTGAGTATTGGCATGAAAGATTGCAACATCTAATGAGGCTCTGCGAATTAGCCTACGATTTTATAGACCCACGTGAGAATGTTCATAACCAAGAAGAAATCAACAAAAATTTCGAAGAACTTTTTTTCGTTGAAGAAGTACAAGATCGCCCAGATAAACGGAAAATTTCTTCTGATAATCCGATCATTTGTCATATTGTAGATGAAATGAGTGAGGGTTTAGAAGATTGGCAGGTTTATAACGTGAATATTGTGCACAAGGCAATCTCAATGTTTCTTGCTTCACATATATATGAGCTTATTTCCAAGGCCGACCAAGAGGGTAGAAATATTCCAGACATAACTTCTGAAATTTGCTACGAAAATGTTAATTGTAAAAAGTATTATTGCCGGAAGCATCACGTGATCCCAACACCATCAATTCTTCGCAATCGTATTACACTTGCATGTCTTCAGTACACCGTAATGCGACAATTAGATACAATATATCGTCGTCGCTTACTTTTTAAGGAGGAAAATAGTAAATCAGTTCTGCCTAAACAAAGGTATTGGGCTGAAAGACTGGTAGACGCTCATTTTCGTTATCAATCTCCGCACTCAAGTTGTCCAGAGATTACTCATGCAGAAATCATCAAACTTCCTAGACACACATATAATGGGCTTGAAGAACTCTCTTATAAAGTTTGGTTAGATAAAGATTTCAATCCCTCTGACTTTGAACAAATGTTAAAATACATATTTGTTTTACTTCAGTTGCGATGCTCATGGGGTATTGATAAGTTTCACTGGGAAATAAAAAAGAAAGAAAAATCTTATTATAATTCCAATTATAAGATTGGTTTTGAAAACACTGGTAGATATTTCCTTACAGTCCAAGCAGTCGCAAAACGACTCGCTTTATTTGTAGAATATATTCGCTCTAACCAAGTGATTATGGCGATAGGACATTCAAAGAAATTCATTGATTATTCTTTACATTATTCCGAAGAAGTTAACATAATTAAATCTGAAGCTTTTAGTGACCTTACATCTCTTTTAGAGTTCACAATGTTTCTGATTTTAGCCGCTCGTCCTGGATATTGCGATTTTTGCCTTCCCCGAAGTTATTTGGTTAATTATTACGAATCATTCAATTTAAACCCACGCCTTATTTGTCTAAACAGCGAAAATAAATACAATAAAAATAACTATGATCAAGCAATTAAGGGTTTATACTATCAAGCTGAAAATATTCTCAATATTATTACGAATGATTATAGGAAAATGCAATACACAACAATTATCCTTCGGTTGATACGACTCCTGACTCTTATCTGTCTGAATGAATCCGGGTTTACATCATTTGTACTAGATCTTTTTAAAAGCCTAAGAAACCAACTTCGCAATAAATATCTGTTAGTAACTAATCGAGGACAGCTTGTCGACATCCTAAATAATGACCTTAAAGAGAATGGCTTTGATTCTTTAGTTATAGTTTACAACTGGGGAGGAATGTCTAGATTTTCTTCTTTGGTGAAACCTGGGATCACAATGATTTCATATCACGATCCTAATGAATTTAGTTCTTCCCTTCAGAAAATTACAACCAAAGAGACAGTAGAGCCCAACTTCCCAAACGACCAACTTTCATTTCAACCAGCTGAACAAGCTGATGGGAGTGAACAAAATTTTGTTCCAATGACCGCAGCCTTTGTTGCCGGTGGTGCTGATGATGATGATGATGATGATGGCGATCGTGGTGATGTTAATGATGACCAGATTGAAGCTCAAGATACAGCCATAGCTTGGTTCCGTGAGATTCACGATTCTCCCCAGGCCCAAGAAGCAGCAATTAAAATCCAAACCTGGTTCCGTCGGATTCAAAAGCGTCAATCTCAATATGATCCGACCTTAGATAAAATCTACAAAGAAGTAAAATTATTCTGCCAAAACGCAACGAAAAAAGAAGAAAGCAATAAAATGCACAAGTATAGCGTGCTCTTAATGGGACCAACAGTATATACAATTGTGGAACTGTTTAAACTGCAAGACAGAATGGATAAAACTCTAAATAAATTGAAAAAAATAATTAATAATCGTTCTTCCGAAGACTCAAAGATCGATTATTGTTTGGAGCTTGAAGATGAACTAAAGTAATTAAAATTCATTTTGCATTCCTATAGTGATTTCTTTTCCATCATCTGAGCTCATTTGATTTTTTTTTTTTAGGTCCACCCATTATGAAAATGTTGAGTCAACGTTGAAATCATTATCAACGACCGAAAACTCAGAACAACATAAAGAAGCAAATATTGAATGGTTAGAAAATGAATTAGAGCAAGCAAATAATAATATTGATTTGGTTTGGGAATGGATAGAAAAATGTAATGAGGTTAATTAGACTTTTGGTTTTATAACGATTATGTATATGTTGGTTCTTGCTATTTTGAAATAAAAAAATATTTTGAGCACAATCAAATGAATTTTAGAAAATGTTTTCAAATAATGTATATCTAAATAATAGCAGAGAAAAGTTACAATATAAGTAAACTAAAACTCCAATAACTGACTAAACTTTTTTAGTAAATTCATGTTCTATAGTAGTGTTAAGATTTTTATAAATATAAATTATCTCTAGATAAAACTAATTGAATTTATGCAATATATTTATGTAATAATAGTATAATAAAGTGAAATAATTTTATGAATTATTCAAGGTATGCATGAAAGCTAGCATATATTACTTTAATTTATTTTTTATTTTTAATTTAGATGATGATTTATAAGTGGGTTAATGGATGTATTCGAGATTGGGATATTGAAAATCAACAATGGATTAGATTTAGTCAAAATGGCGTTAAAAAAATTTGATGGTATAAATGAGGATTTTTCAAAGTAATACTTTAAATTTATTTAATATATTAATTAGATAGCAATTTTCTTGAGAACAAATGGCGAAGCGTCATCAGCCTATCTTAGAAATTATTTAAATAATGGGTTGGGAAAATAAATTATTCCATTTAAAAGATTTAACTAAAATTTTTCAAAAATTCATAAATTAGATATACTGTAGTTCATCTCGGAAATATTTTAAAAGCATATACAGTTTATTTAGATTGAGTAAATTAATGAAAATTATAAACCTAAAAATGAGATTTCGTTAAAAAAATATTACCTTCATATCTATGGGGGTTCAATGATTACATTAGAACCGCATAAAATATTTTTTTAATGAATCTCTTCATAAATTAAAATTTTCTAAGGGATATTTAAGAAAGTTCATTATTAAATTATCTCCTCCCCCATGACCTTTGTCCTCCACCATTGCAACCTCCTCTAGTTCCATGACTTCCTCTAATAAATTTATAATAATAATACTTACTGAATGGCATTATTCTTATTATTCTTATTATTTAATTTATTATAAAATTTATGCAGTCAGTATAATAAGTTCATTTGTGTATCGCTAGTATTATTAGTTTGTAGTTAATAAAAATTAAAGAATTAAAAGATGGTTGCAATTAATACAATTAATAAATTTCATACTCACAAAATACTCACAATAGATACAATATTTAAATTTATTCTTCAAAAGAAGATATACTTGTATTTAAAATCATTGCAGCCAAAATTTAGAAATAAATATTATAATAATAATTAATCTTTGAATATTCAACTTTAAAAAATTTAAAAAATTTTTGACATTATCAATTCATTTCTTATGACCTTTTCAACCTTAAATTATTTTTTACTATGATAATTTTGAGTTTTTGTTATATTCATATTTGAAATAAAAAGAAAGGTCACAAAATAAAAGTACAAAGTTGAAAAATACAAACCAATCCTTACCTTCATCACAAAGAATCATCTAAACTTCCATCACTTCTTTTATTAAACATTTCACCACCATAAAAAAGAAATATTGGAGAAATAATAAAATAACACTAAATATACAATCCATTACTTCATAAACACAAATATTTTTCATTAAATATATTTTTTAAAAATAAACAATAAAAAATAAAAAATAAAAAATAAAAAATAAAAATAAAAATAAAAAAATAATAAATAAAAATAATAAATATTAAATAATAAATAATAATAAATAATAATTAATAATTAATAATTAATAATTAATAATTAATAAATAAAAAGCAAAAAATAAATAATAATAAAAAAAATAAAAAGTGAAAATAACAAAATTCATCAATTAGTTAATTTATAAGTTTTTCTAAATTTAAAATCTATTGATCAATTCATTCCATAATAATCCAATATCCGATTATCTTATTTAAATCGATTAAATAAATTAATTAAATAATTAAAAATAATTAAGAATAAGAATTAATAAATTTAAAACCATTTAAAATAAATAAAATCAATAAAATCATATTATCCCATAACAACATCACACCACACTCATTCCCCACTCTCACCCACACCTTTCCATACACTATACATGACATCGCATTGAAAGTGAAGTAATATATCACACATTCCTAATATAATATATAATAATATATAAATAGATATAATTATCATATAATTGACCGAAAAATTCACAATTCTATTTTATCAATTGATAATCTTTTCTCCCTTCCTTCTTTATCAAATTTGTTGTTAAGAAAATTATCCTTGATATTATTATTCTCATCATTCTCACCAATAATCCTAATTAAATTATGATTAATGCTATTGATTAAAAAAGAATTCAATATCAAAAATCAAATCTGTAGAATTTCACATCTTAAATTCATTTCTATCAAATTTCATATGAAGGATTGTCTCCCGATGATGATTATGATGATCGTTCAACAGACAAATCAGATTCAACTGATAAAACCAAGAATTGACTTCATTTAATTGATTCATTACGACGCATCGATTAATTGTTCATCAGTTTCACCTTTATTTTAGAGATATTAATATAATTTTACCTTAATATGTTCTAAATAAATGCAACGTTTACCCGCAAGTAATCATGATATTGTGACACAAGATGACACATACGTATGATGAAATGCAAATTACTAAATCTAAATGTTATATGTATAACTAGCTCAAAATTTGGAATTTGTTCAATAGAAAATTTAAAATAATTACCGGGAATAAAAATTGCGATCATTATTGAAATCTTAAATTAAAGCAAAGGGGTACAATGGCTTACTTCACATATCCCCATCCTTCCTCGATCTAATAATTCCTGTAACACCAGTTTTACCCCAATATCTGTCTGCTTCAACAAAATGAGTTCTTGATTATTGTTGTTCTTCGATGCAATAATTATTTTTAACTATTAAATATTCATAATTATAGTGTATAATTCGTTATTTTTTTTTACATATTATATCTAAATATTATAGATATTAGGATGTTATTTTGTATTTATATATCAATAAACATTTCCATTACATATAAATTTCGTTTATTTAATATTATTGTTGACGAAAAAAAAATAAATTTATTATTCATAATTTATAATACAAAAAAAAAGATAAGATGCAAATGGAATACAAATCTTTTTATAGAGTGATTGATAAATTTTAACTTATGTTTATTTTATACAATATTTATCTTATGGTCCGATACTTAAAGATTTGTACCTTAAAAAAATAGTAATAAAATTTTTTTTATTAAGAAATTTTTTTTTTTAAAAAAATTCAAATTACTTCATTACATATTCGGAACTAAAAAAATATAAATTTTTATATTAAACTATTCACCATCATCAAGGTTATCATAATCATCAAATTCTTTACCAATTAATTGCGCATCTTCATCATTCTTCTTCAAAAATATTTTTTTTTTGCATTTTCAAGTGCTCTTTTTCCAAAATCCAATTATAACTTGTGAAGAAATTTTTTTTTAAATGCATCTAACAATTTGTTTCTAATAGATAAAGGGTTTGGATGTGGACCTGATCTTGCAAATTCACTTTTAAAACTACCCAAATACTTTCAATTGGCTGACCAAACCGATGCAACATTCAAAGAAGCTTCCATTTAGATAATGTGTATCCTTTCTCAGAAAGAAACTGGCATAAGATAGGTGCAGAAATTTGTTCACGCATTTTTGTTAGCACTTAAAATTTTTGTCTTAAAAGTTGTGAGGTTGGACTTTAGGTCACCCGAGGATTTTTTTTTTGACAAAATCATACCGCCATTATGCTTATTCCAATCAGATATTACTATGCCCTTAGATCTCAATAACTTGCTTGCGTAATATAAGCTTTTGATCGTCATTTCAATAGATCTAGTTCCAGAAATGTAATTGTAAAAGTTAATTAACATTATTTTTTCGTTATCGGTAAGTGGGGCGTCAGTTCGTGTTAAGGGCAAAGATAATAAAATAATTTTAGCAGTAGATTAAACGTGAGAATCTCAGATTTTATATATACTGTCGCGGTCTGCGCAGAACAATGTGGGAAGTCAAGCCAATCAGTCTCAATAAATTTAGGATGATCACACAA